GATGGGAGTGAGGGGAAAGCTGGGATTCATGAGCAGGGGGGAAAGGGAGAGCAGAGACCAGGGTGTAGGGGAAGTGAATTGATGGGTGGGCACCAGGTGCAATGGGTGTTTGGAGGAGGGGGCAGGTGCCAGCCCAGGAGGGCAGGGTGAGAAGGGGGGTGGGCTCCAGGGGGGCAGAGGTAGGTGGAGGGCAGGGGCATGTGACAGGGCAGGGGGCATGTGACAAAGTGGATGGAGAGGGGACCATGGGAGCAGAAAGGGGGTGAAGGGAAGGGGTGGGGCAAAGTGGAGCCATGGAGGATAGAAGCATGGGCCAGGTGGGCACAGAGTTTGAGGGAAGGGGAAGGGAGGGGCAGGAGCTAGGGGCCGGAGGGCAATGAGGAGATTGGCAGAACCTAGGGGGCAGAGAGGGTGAAGGGGGAGGCCTGCATCTCTGTTGCTTTGGAGCCGTGTCAGGTTGGTTTGTTACTAAGAGCAGGTCAGTGCCGTCCCCACATACAGGCACTGGCCAGGCAGCCCTGCCCCAAGGGTGGAGCTGGGACTCTCTATGCCGGCTGGCCCCATGGGCACCACCTTCCAGCCAGGCAAACCCCACATCCGGCCCCTCCCCTCACCAAGCCCAGCCCCTCCCCCAGGCCATGGGAAGTGGATCTGGGCTTGGCTCCTAGGTGGGGGCAGGACAGTGGGGGGATGGGCATGGGGGATGCTTGGAGGTGTAACTGGGTAATGGGGGGGAACAGGGGCCATTACTAATGAGGACAGGGCAGTGGGGAGGAGAGGGGGCATTTCCCCAATTCCTGCCCCTTCCATCTGAAAGAAGCTGCACCAGGGGCCAATACCAGTTCACATCCTCACAGCGCAGCTGCACTAGGGGTTTGCAGTGGGGCACTGACATGCCTGAGACACTGCTGTGCCAGGGGCCGTAACCCCTCCCCTCACTGGGGTTATGGATCAATAATTACAGAGTCAATGGAGCAGGGGAGCTGGACTCTGGGCTCCCAAGTGGGGCCTGACCCACTGGGCTGCAGAGTCATTCTCACTCCCACGCTCTGGCCCAGTGCCCATGGCAGTGTTTAGACACGGGGGCGTCTTCAGCAGGAAAGATTGAGGGAGCCCCACGTCAGACACTCGGAGCCCAGCGGTTCCAGCCCTCACCTGAGGGTGGGGGAGTCCCACATTTCAATTCCTGCCCCACATCACACAGAGGGATTGAAACTGGGGCTCCCAGCTGAGGGCCCAGCCACTGGGCTAAAGGTTAGAAAGGAAGCTGTGGAACCTTCTTTTGTTCATTCAAACTATTCAGCAAACTCGACATGGATTTGCAAAGTTTCAGTTGATCCAAAATAATATTTTGCAGCAAATAAACTATTTATCCAAAGCATTTCACCCAGCTCCACTTCAAACCTCTCTGAACAACTTAGGAGCCCAAACCCCAGTGACTTGCAATGAGTGATTGTCAACGTCCCCAGCAACGCAGTTATGGGCTCAGGACATCAGCTATGAATCACCCCAGAGCTGCCATTAAATTTGCCCTGGGTAGGAAAATTCCCCCCCACCCCAGCTCCTGATCTCACCCCGAAAATCAGGCTGAAAATGGAGTCTCGGCTCCAGCCTGAACTCTCTGCTCAGAGCGATTTGTCCCCTGGACTCTGCAAGCAGCACAGACCCTATCCAGCTGTACCTGGGCGTCTCCTCAAGTGGATAATGGTCCCAGAGACCATGTCAGAGCCCCAGGGCACAGGTGTCTCCATCTAACGACTGCACCAGCCACCCGCTCTCATTAACCGGCCCTGGTTCAGACACGCTGGGAACTTTCATACCAAGACTCTGGAGACACTTTGGGTTCGTCTACACAGCCCCTGGCAGGGAGTCCCAGAGCCGGGTGGACAGACTGAGGTTTGTGGGGCTCCTGCTACGGTGCTAAAAAGAGCCGTACAGACCTTCTGGCTCAGGCTGGAGCTGGGGCTCTGAAGCCCAGGGAGTAAGTGGGGGCTTCAAACCCAGGCTCCAGCCCCAGACACAAAATCTACACTGCTGTGTTTAATGCTGTAGCACAAACCCCACGAGCCGATGTCTGTCACCCTGGCTCGGAGACTCGCCCAGGAGGGCTGACAGAGCAGCACGGCACAGACACCTTCCATGACTGTGGGATATTCACTCTCCCAAGCTGGTGTCTGGAGGGCCAGCAACAGCCATGGGTGTTCCAGGTCCCATTGCTGGAAGTGCCCAGGCACCCAGAGCGATGCACTGAGGAGGGCCAGTGACTGGAAAGAGTCACCCTGACTCACCGCACACAGGACTGGTCCAATGCTGTGCACTGACTGTTGGCAGGAAGAATACCTAAGGTGGAGCTGCCTCCAGGAGCAAGGACGGGGAAACTGGCCTGGTTTCCCAGAACACTCATGAACAGGGAAGTTCCAGGTTATTAAAGACACCCTGCCATGGGGAGGTCAGGCCCAGGACTATGGGAACCCCATTTTGGGCTGGGAAGAGTGACCCCCTCCCCCTCAGGGTTAATTTGTTTTGACTACAATGAAAAGGGACACATAAAAAGATGTTGCCCTACAAGAACTCTGGATTTTGGACAGAGGGGATCAGGGATGTTGCTATGGGGCAGTGAAAGTTTCTAGTACTGGGTAAAATGGGTAGCTAAGAAAGCAGGCCCTGGGGTATAACCTTCAGAGGGAGAGGCCAGCCATGGGTTTCAAAAGTTCCTCCGCTTACCAGGGATACCTTTGGGGAGTTTGAGTAGCTTCCTCCAGGAGCCTGAAAGGACTCCTTTGGAAAATGATCTAACCAGCAGCTCTAGGGTACAGCGGGCTCTCTGGGCCAGGGGAGCCGGGGCAGAAGC